TCTCCCGCACGTCATATCTCTGGCTAAAGGCACTGGGGCTGTTTTTAGTATCGCCGCTGGTCACGTTTAAGTGTTCTGTTCTCACCGGTGGCAACATGGGAGAACCTCACCCGTCCAGAGGTGTTTCGTTCTCACTGATGGTCAGGCTGCAGGTTTACGGGGGGCTTGTGAGTCTCACAGCTGCTAATGTGGATGTATGATGATGTATGTGGTAGGTGAACATGTACGCATTGAATGGAATTGGACGCTTTGGGAGAACATGGGTCAACCACGAGCCAATTTTGATCGCATTCGCATGCATTCGCTGAATTCGTGTTAGTTCTGATTTCCTTCACGTAGTTCAGAAAGGTGAACGTGCATAACCTGCTTTCTTAGCTCGGCTCACTTGATAAGTTATGATCGCTACCTTGCTGTCATTGCTTTTGGAGACTTTGGGAGTTGCCGAGCAGACTGGGCATTAATTACTTTTCGTTGCTTTCTCAGTGACATTGATGGACTTTTTGCGCATCTTTTTATGAGTTGTGGTCAATCTGTTTGTTCGACGAATGTTGAAGTATATTAACAAAGTGTCATTAGCCACAATCCATGTATCTACTGCCATCAAAAAGGTGTTGCGATTTCACATTCATATAGATAATTCATGTCATTCAAGTCAAATCGTGTCTCACATATGATTCATATATTTATGCCTTCTCCAGCAACATTACTTACTCGTTTCTTTTTCCCTCCATATTGCCGACCATTTGGCAAAGCAACCGCTTCCCAGTTGTACTTCCAGCAGGCAGTCCATGCAGCTGCAGTGGATCGGGCCTTAGAAATCCCGTTGGCCGACATGGAGCTGGCCAAGTTGAGGCTTGCGTGGCCTGTTTGCTTGACAGGAACACATAATTTGTGTTGGTCGCCTAAATGAGTTGCAACAATGCCCTGCTAGATTGTGCAAGGATGACAGATTGTCATTTCGAGTCATTTTGAGTCATTTCGTTTTTGGACTTTGCCAACTTTGCTCTTTGTGTTTTTTCTAGGTCCGGTCCATAGCCATCAATCCTCAAGCGGCTGCAGCTGTAGGTAAAGAGGCGGTAGAAAATCAGCCGAATCGGAAGAATGAACGCTAGCATACGCTAGCTGTAGCTTTGAATGCTTTGAACTGGTCCCAAATGCAGGTCGCACCAGCGCTTTGCAGTGCCTTGGGACGCCAGAAGGACTTGTTTGATTCCTTTGTAATTGCACATTTGGCTTGTGTTGTGATGGTGATGTTGTGAGAGTACTTTGACAGTCTCTCAGACAATGATTTCCAGGATGAGACTTTGTTGTCCTGGGCTTTGCTGGCACTAATGCGCTTGGAGAAGGGCTGAGCAGTCCTGTTGGAGAACGTTTTTGTTCTCTGCGAACCACGAGATTCCGCTTCTTCTTGGGGCTTTATAAGGCTCAGCATCATGAAACCCATCCTACTTTGCGGAGAGCCGGAGCTGCGTGGCACTCGACTTGATTGGATCGTTCACGCCGAGTAGAAAAGCAAGTTCTCAAGTTGTCGCATTCCTCAAGAAAGTGACAAGTAAGTCACAGCGACAAGTAAGCAGCTTTTAGTTATCGCCTGCTTGTCGAGGTTGCTTCCTTGTCACTCTTTACTCGGCCAGGGCAGCGCAAGCCAGCGGAGATCTCGAAGCTGCATTTCTTGCTTTACATGACTTTACATATTAAAATAAAGCAATAAATGTTTACCAATTTCAGGCAGTGATGTTAAGATTTAAAAGCCGAGGGACCTCGCCTTGATTTGCTGGCATCCATTGGCTCGGAGCTTTACTTCTCTCTTTAGAGTACTGATGCTCCGTGAAATTGAACGATTATTCAAACAAAGGTCTGGCATTTCTCAGTGGAACAGCTGGGGCGATGAGACAAGAAGCTTGTGCTCTGGTGCCACTACGAGCAGTTCCTGAGTCTTTTGGCATTGAACGTGACAGGACATGCTCGCTTTCCTGCTTTGTTTGATGATGCTTGATGCTGACAACGCTGCCTGCTTTCGTTGGCTTGGCTTTGTGGCTCCTCACATGGAAGATTGCGTATTGTGGCATATTGTGGCTATTATATCATACAATAAATAAATTATATATATAACATGGATCTCACTGTACAGACTCTATGCAGAGCCCAAGCAAATCAGGCTTGTGCAGCTGTTGCAGCTGAGACTCTGTTCCACCGCAGAAGAGGACCGAACCACAGCTGCTCCTGCGCTTTTCGCAATAATCACTGAAGTGGAGGCCGTGGAGAAGAAGCTTTTTTGCGGAATGCCGGTGGACTACAGGCTTCCACAATGTTTTCAAGAAGTATGTTGCGAAATTCACCAGACTCAAACATATCAATGCTTGTGTTGTAGCAGATTGGAAAGCCTCAAGGCCTCGATTTGTCGCCCAATCGCTGACCATGCTGTGCGAGGACGGAAGCATGCACAGCATGCATAGGTCGTTGGAAGTTCTTACAAGATCCTGCAAGATCAGTTCTTGCATGATACTGTTAAAGTTCTTACTGATTAATGTTTTATGAGTGAAATCCGAGAGGCCGAACGACAAAGTTTGAAGAAATCACCTCGTGCTGCCAAGGCTTCAGCTGCACATGCTTCTGTTGGGTGGCATTCTGCTTTGCCAGCGTTGCTTGCCCAAGTGCTTCGAGGCAAAGTCTATCAAGCATGTCAATTCATATATATATATATAATTACTGTATGTTCATGATTGTTTTATCATTGAAGGACAAATTCTGAAAATAGAGCTCCTTAAACCTCAGCTACCTTCCTTGGACTTTAGTACTCGCATGTACCCACCACTATTTATATAGTAACGATAACGCATATTAAACGGGGCAGAACGACCTTGGATTCAGCAAAAAGTATCCTGTAGAGGCGAGCTGCCCAATGATGCTGCGACTAACTTGCCCTTTGGAAGCCCGGATGTCATTGAGATGTCCAGCAGGTGGGCCAAGTACTCAAAGCTTTCAGACTCATCAGACCTACCTTATTTGGGTCAAAGCTTTGGACATCATCTTTTGATATCTTTTGTATGTCAGCAAAATTAAGAGCAAATGGATCATCAATGATCATCCATGATCATCCTCTCTGAAACCTTGGAGTTTTCAGGTGCCGTGCTGCCTTGCTCTCTCATGCCAAGAAGCGCAACATTGCCCCGGCAGAGGCGAATGAAGAAGTCCTCATCAAGACATGAGAATCATCCATATTGGGCAATGATTTGTTGACTGTTGATTCATATTTTGTCTTCTTGATGTGCTAGGACCTAGGATTCAAATTTCAGGAATCCAGGAGAAGGGCTCAACCGAAGCCCTCGAATTTGCTTGGTGAATTATTGCATTTCCTGCGGTGTGGGAATTGATCCAGGCTTTGGCAGCTTTGAAACGGGCACCTGTCTCTCCAAAAGGAACTTGGGCCGGAGCACACAGAGGGTTTCGAGCTTTTGTTGCTGTATGATAATCTAACTTTCACTTTTGGCGCCTGCTCAAGTTCCCTTGTCAAGAGTGTTTTGTATGCTGATGAACTCTGATGAGCTGGCTCCTCACTTGGGACCCTCACTTGTCCGTTTTGGTGTTCAATCATTATGATGCAACTAGCACAGCAACAGTGGCAAGTGTTCCCCCCTCTTTTGCTACCGCTCGGATTACCAACTTTTTGCCATACTTCTTTCAAATGAATCGCATCAGTGTTCTGCAAGAACTTGTCGCGAGTCTGGTGGTGATAGGGTCCTTTGACTATCACTATCAAGGGCATTGCTTTCGTGACTCTTCCGACAACTTGATAACACGCCATTCACGGTGACTTGATGTTGATCCTCGATCGGCTGCCCGTATATGTTTGACTTGTCACCGTGATGCTCATCAGACAAAATTCAACTCTGCAAACCCGCGCTAGATCCTTTTTCAGAAATGATTTCGAAGGACTTTCTGATGAGTTGCCAACCTGGCAGGAAATGGAGAGGAAAGGAGCATGCATGAGTATGCATATTGCTGACTGAGCCTATTTGAACCTGACAGAGGTCAGCAGTTTCAGGAATCAAAAACAGCCATTGACTGTGATCATGGAAACCATGTCGTTATTGCGCTCTCCAGCCGACTGTTGCTTGCAAGAGCTCCAATTTCCGGCGCATCTTCCAAAATGCATCAAAGTAGTAGGCTTGTCCAACGGCTCCTCAATACTGAGAAGAAACCTCGGGCAAAGAAGCCCAAGGGCAGAAGACGAAACAAGTCAAGGCCACAAAAGCCGTGGGAAGCAGTGCATCTACACCTTGGAGATTTCAGTTGGACAAGCTCTCAAAGTATCTCCAACCGAGCCATGAGAAGATGAGCTCAAGAACTCATGGAGTGCCACCAAGTCCCAGTATTATAGATTCGTCAGGGCTTGCGCAGCAGTCTGGCTTGCTTGAGCCACTCACAAGTTGACTGTGGACTTGATTGCCGCAAGTAGATTGCAAGCCATACCAGCCAGAGGCAGTCAGACCAAACACAACATTGAAACCGGAATTGCTACAATTTGATCCATCTTAAATTCTGTGCCTTACTTTCATTCAGGTCGCTCTCCACTGATGCTGCCCCAACCATGATTCGATTGTCGCAGTGTGGCCCCAACATTCTTCTGTTTCTGATCTGTGCCTCTCAAGTGGCGCATACTGAAGTGCACTATTGCTACCGCCGGTTGCTCCTAGCCCACCACGATTTGTTTGCAAGAGCAGGACTATGGGCCACAGTTAAGAATGCATTAGAGTAGGATATTCTCGGTCATAGCACGTTTAACAACATCTTTGTGACAACGGACAGCGAGTTTGAGGCAGAGCGTGGAGAAGTGACAAGGGCCTCTAGAACTCAGAAGAGCCGGCTTTGAGAGAGTCAGCATGAAAATGAGACCCTTTTCTCTCGCTTTCGCTCTTGCATGACCATTGTTGACTAGCTGCGATCGAGTTAATTTAATATCACGGAATGTTCACTTTGATGGAACTTGTGTGAAGCAGGCGTACGGCATTGATATGCAGGTGCCGGCTTCAGCACGCACAAATTGAAAGCCTACTTGAATGACATCGTTCATTGCTGAATAGCATGATATATGATGTTCGATACATTTTTATCATGTAGGCTTTGGCAGCCGAACTACAAAAAGCTTTGGCGTCAGCTGCCACGGTTGAACAGGCACTCTGAGCACAACTGCAACGAGAGAACATTTTCGAACAATTGCGAGGCTTCTCCTACACAGGTGGCTGCAGTGATGGTTCAAGGTGACACATGTCGTTGAGCTTTGTTGGTACAGAGATTTTTTAGCTTGGCCTTATTTCTTCAGGCTTTTGGGATGTAGCTGTGGCGGAATGGCTTGGCAAGGCCGGCTGACCAAGAAGAGGTCATTCATTCATTGCACGGTCGTAAATTGATGCTAGTTTGCGAGTCAAAATTGTACAAGTCAAAGGAAGCCTTGGAGTTCTCCGGGTCTGCGGGATGAATTTCGGCAGTTCGAAACAAGGAAACAGCATGTTTTGAGCTAACGTACAATGACACTCAAAGGTTTTGCGATGGCTCGGTTGCTTTGACAAGCAGGTTGTGCCATATGAGAAACAGCTTCGACTCGTTTGACTTGCCTCATCACCTTTCCACAGTTGAGCGGTTCAGCCAGTGCTAATGAGAAAGCCTTGCTACTAGTAGCGTCCTCTTGCTCCTAGTAGTGAGGCCAGGAGCCCCTAGTAGCGTTCTTGCTCCTAGTAGCGATGCCCTTTGTTCCTAGTAGCGTTCTTGTTCCTGATAATTCTTCTTGTTTCAAGTTGGTTTCAAGTTGTTCCTTCCAAATCTGTGCGGACAGAAACACACTGTTGTGTCCTCATGAGTAATTACTGTGGTGGCTCGGAAGCAGTGTCAGCCATTGAAGTCATTCACCATACAACAATTGTATTACATTTTATATACAGTAGTCTTGTATCATACTGCGCTTTTCCAAAGTCTCTTACAGTCAACCTTTGTCATGCCTTTCTTCTCAGTGGCATCTCTCCCGCTACCTTTGGTCATATGACATCCATTGTGCGACAACATCCGTACTATGACATCAACTCCACCCCATGTACCGCATTAGATACTGTTCAATGCATCTAGCAATCATCCTTCATTGGTTTTCACAGTTCAATGGCTGCAATTCGTGTTTCATATTCAGCGGCATTCCGTGTCATGGTGTCCACGGATTCATTCACACGATTTGAGTGAGGAGTATGGAGGTTGTTTTTGGAAGGGAATCCAATAAGGTGCGATGATAAGGCTGAAATAAGTACCGTAAGGGATTAAGTACGGCATATAGAGGATTCTTCTCGCCCTTTTGATTACTTCCAACTGAAACATCAAAGATATATTCAGTAGTCCATACTAGATAGTTTGCTGATGTTTTTTGCATGACCATGGTTGCTGGGCTTTGCTTTTCAGTAACCAATTTGTTGTGTTTGTGAGTTTCATATGTTTGAACTGTATTTTCCCACAGGGTCAAGCCTTCCATTGTTTATATTAAAGGTCATTTAGGTCTTGTAATGTCCAACATACTCTGGTTGCCAGAGACAAGGTTCTTAAGCATCAAAGGGGTTTCTCACAGCTGCACTTTGAACCTGTTTGCATTTGTTCACCTTTGCCAACAGGTGCGAGGTTCCAATGCAATGCACTGCTCATCAACCCTCACGAAGCCGCAAGCGGTACAAAGTACCACAACGTGTGTAGGTAATGCATTATGTGTTTTTTTGACCTGCATCATCCACGTCGCAGCAGCACAACATGTCACGGAACAGATAGGGCCAGTTATTGTCAACATGTCTCCAACTCTTCAACTAATCTACTCGAGCTGAGCCAGCCAATCCGAATTGGACAGGCCGGCGTGCCAGCAGAAAGCATTCTTCAGCAGGTGCGGTAGCACACATAATGTATCGTGCTTGCAGTGTTTGTCGTGTGTTGCTTGGTAAGCCCACTCAAGCCTCATGATCGGCATTCGCTTCTCGCACGTGTTTGTCCAACGACCGGGATCTGGAGCTAGTGACTCCAACCAAATGGCTTCACTGAGCGCACGCCTTGCCTTTGAACTGGCTCGACAGTCCTCCCTGCTGTCCAGATGTGTAATTCATGGCTTGTGCTGGACAGATCCTCGTTCATCCACGTATGCATCCTGTCTGGTGACGCTACTTGAGGCGAAAAAGGGTCAGCAACAGAAGAAAGCCAAGCAAGCAAGCAACATTGTGAAGGCGTGAGGCACAAAAGAGCCGCTTCACATGTTGTTCTCGCGGCTGTGCCTCCAAAAGCTTGGCCCAGAAGTGAGTGGAGATCTCAACGTGTCTTGAATAGCAGGTAGTATGATCCGAACGTTCCTTGCGTATACTTCTTGACATCCGTGGAATCTCTAATCTTGGCTCAAGATTCACGTTCCACAGGAGTGGTTGTTTCCTGAGAAGCTGGATGAAATGGTGGCTCAAGCATGCTCAAGTGTTCGTGTGTCAAGAGCTTAGGTGTTGGAACATTTGGAACAATAAACTAGAAAGACGAAAGCCCCTTTGCCAAGTGTGCCGTGCGTAGAACATGCGCGCCGGACCCAAATCTGGTTCAATGATCAACAGGGGCAGGCGACTTAAGAAGATGAACCAGCATGACACCCTCTTGAAGCATCTTCTAGCAACAAATTTGTCATCCGACAGCCATGAGGCCGGCTGGTCATCTTTGTGGCCGTGGCCACACTCCTTCAGCTTCATCAGATAGCCTTCCTCAAGCCAGCGAGGCCACTGCTGGCATTTCTTGCGATTAGCTGCGATAGCTGCCAATGGAAAGCTGGAACCAAGGCTTTCGAGCGTGAGGAGACCACAGGCAGTGGGGGTTGACAAATTGAGACAAGCGTAAGTCGGAAATTGCAGGTTACTATGGGAGCAAGAACTCCGGGCAATCAACCAACGGATGAGCCAGGCTCGATAGCCGTCATTAGCCCTTGATGTGACCTGCTTCACGATTTGATGGACGGGGCATTTGATGTTGTCAGACTACCCGGAGTTCAAGCCGACTGGCGACTATTTGTTCGAAACCCCTTTCTTCAAGATGGAAAAGTTCAAGCAGGACTGAAGTACAGTATACTGAAGTCATACAAGAACTGGTCTTTGCTGCTCCATAATTACTTTGTATCGCACTGACTTGCAATTTTCAGCAACCAGGCCTGCCTCTCGACTCCGCAGAATAGGTCAAGGGTCAATGTAGTCAATCAGCAACAGCATGAGATGTCTCATTCTCATGATAATTCATGATATATAATGTGTAAACAGTAAACTTAAACATATCAATTAAGTAACTCCCGCTATGAGCTTGGTTCAACTTTTTTCGCTATATAACTGCCCTGGAAAAACCTTATTTTAACGTTCTTTGGGGCCAAATTTGGGCAAAAGGGGATTCAAGTTGGTCTGCAAACCGCCCGTAGTGTTTGCGAACCTCAACAAGCAACCGAGTGAGTGAAGAATCGACACAACCTTCCGCTCAATGTAATTGTCGGGGTGAATTTCACGTAGAAATTCATTCAAGGACGTCCACATCAGGGTTGCTCAGTTGCTGAGCTGTCCGGCAATCCACGCAGCGTGTGGAAATTATTTTGTCGGAGATCAAACGTTCTAGCAATATTTGGCCATGTTGACAAAGCAAGCTTTGGCATGAACCTTTGGTATAGCCTCAACCCGGCAATTGCCGGCCATGAGATGAGGAGCCTGGTGATGCTGCCTCCAATCAGCATGGGAGTATGAGCCCAAAGTCAGTCCACGCAGGCAGGTTGAGCTTGGCTGGAGCACGAGCTCACCACGCCTCCGCCACGTTGGACGCAAGAACGCAAGATTGTGGACCGTGCCCAGTAAGGGACTTGTGTGGAGGACAACAGGTGCATGGGGAGGGTGCTGGCAAAGGATTGGCAGGATGGAATTAGCACAGTTAGCGATAGAGTTTGGAATTGACAATTTAGGTTGCCCTTTACAAGGACTGCGCAGCAACGTATGCCAGGCGTTTTGATCACTAGAGTCGCAGTGGCTTGACCATGCAAACCGGCAGTTGAGGGCTTCGTAGACAAACGTGGTGAATGCCCCCTTCGACCAAAAGAACAGAGATCCACACACTGACAATGAAGAACCCCAAAAGAAAGAAGACAAGGCCCACTTTAAGCTGCCAGAAGTTCAACGCGCGGCCAGCAATCCCCTGGGATGAACCGCGAGGTTTTAAAGTTATTAGAAGGTATGGATCAACTTACAAGTCTTGTAGCCTTGTAAGTGTTTGTAGGGTTTAATTACACAATCTAGTTTTAAGTACTTACTGTACCAACTATAAGGACGACAAATGGCCTGGGAGCGTTGAAAAACATACTCAAAAGGCCATACAAGTATTTGGGTGCACATCATAGCAATGTATGTCAAGAACACCTTTTCGGGACTTGCCGTGGAGGTGGAGAGAGCACACATGCTTTTCGTTTCACAATGGCATGGAGCCACGCAAACACACTTCCCATCGACACAACGACATCACAGACGTAATTTGGCCGCACGGCGTGCCACAGACTAGATACAACAATGTAACACCAAGCCTCGTGGACACCGCCAAATCATCCCGCTCCCCAGCGACGCACCGCGTGTACGCACGCATGTTTTTTCGTTTCCCGATGGCACAGAGCCACGCAAACACACTCTTGCACGCAAAGCCGCATGGCACAGCGACATCACAGGCGTAACTTCGCCACGCTACAAACTTGCCAGTTCCAATGCCACAGCTCCCAGAAGCTGCTTCCCGCACTACATGTGCACTACAAAGTTGCCAGTTCAACTGCCACAGCTCCCAGAAACCGCTGCTGCACTACATTTGCGCAATGCAGTTCTCATTTTCGACGACTGCGCGTTTCGACTACAGTTTTCGACGACAGTTGCACTCGTTTTCGATGGCGCGCCCACCTCCGTTTTACAACGACACAGTTACACTTCGGCCTCCTTTTCGACGACAACTTTCACCTCCGTTTCAATGACAGTTGCACACTTGGCAACTTCCACCTTCGTTCTCGACGACAGACGGCAGTTACTTACTTTGGCAACATCTTCCTTCGTTCTCGACGGTGTTACACACTTTGGCAATTAATTTCCACCTGCGTGTTCGACGACAATTACACACTTTGAAACAGCCTCCTTTGTTTTCGACGACAGTTGCACACTTTGGCAGCTTCAATCTGCATTAAATTTACGCTTTAAGGGAAACTGTTGTTTTTTTTTACTGATTTATTTATATAGTTATTCAACCGATAATTTTTGGTGCTATGCCTGCCACTATTGCTGTCAGTCAGTGCCTTGGACGCTTTGCCCGCGGCACTTACTGTCAGTGCCCTGGATGCTTTGCCTGCCACGAATAGTGTCAGGGCACTGGATGCTTTAGCGTCAGTGCCCCGGATGCTTTAGCACTTAACGTTTACGCACTGGATACTATGCAAGGCCCTAGCCCTAAAGTCTTGAGAATATGGGTCATTCACTGTTCAAGGTGGGTGGGGCTCCGCTAGCCTTTGAAAGGCGGCATCATCATCATCATCATCATCATCATCAGACACTGGGTCTGATGGCAGCTCCACTGGACTGAGCCATGATCACAAAAAGATCAATCTGAACCCAAATGTCTGACAGTCGAGAAGCATTGCATTCGGAAAAAATATGCTAGTTAAACCAGTCCTTGCGGAAAAGATGAAACGACTTGAGCTTCTTTTCCGAGGCCCAAACTGCACGGCCCACGGGCTAAAATGGTCCCAGGAAAGCTGGCCAAAAAGGCCCAATTTGAAAGCCATCGCGCCCTTTTTCTGACCCTCGCCATAGGCCTTCAGCATAGTCCTTAGTTGACCAAAATACACACAGGGCGCCCGTGGTGCCTTTCGTTGGATCGTTTGATCGTTCCAAAATGGAACCCGAACTGAATCAAGCTGACAGGTTTTACACAGTTGTCTCTCCAACCTTTGCTGCCGCCATTGCTGAAAAAAGCCTTCCGGAGTTTGCGGCAAGACGGATTCTGTCATACAGAGTTAGCATGATTGAACGGCTCTTTGCCAAGGACCATGGTTGGCGGTGGGAGGAAGCCAACATGGGGACTGTGGTTTGTGTGGCTATACTGCTAGGACCATGGTTGGCGAGGGTCAGTGGGAGGGAACCAATCATTGCATTAGTCCTGCGGCTTGCTCTGCATTCTTGCAGGCTCTCAAGGACCTTAGTTGGCATGGGTCAGTGGTGGGGACGTCAACTATAATAAGAAACTAGCAGAAATTCAGCATAAGAAACTAACAAACCCAGATGTTTGGCGTAAACCTGCGAGTGTTTTGGAAGCTACTTCGGTACAGCACTCGACTAAAAATGCGCGTGCAAAACGTCAGACGAAAATCCGAAAAAATCAGTAAAACAAAAAGTGTCTTCCTTCACACTTTGGCAACTCAGCACGCACAATCTCCGCAGATGGTTCACTCATGTAACCAAGAATTCGCGTTCACGTTTGAGCATCGGCGCGCGATCTCCACAGAGGGTTCATCCGGCACACCCGGAACTCGCATTTCACCGCAAGTTTAAGCGTCCGACACGCACGATCTCCGCAAAGGGACAACGTGATAAAATATGAATACACAACATACGGTTTGAAAACAAAGGTCTTTTTGCGTGAGCAGGTATGAAATGTTTCAAACAACTCCCCTTTATCATTGATGCTCTCATCCTTGCAGGAGGAAGTGCTCGGACTGGCCGCGTTATTTGGAACATGTTTCCTTCTAGCATTCGTGTTCGGTGAAATTGCGACCAATGTGAGGCCAGCGGCCAGCTTAATTTGAGTCACTGAGTCATTCGAGTCGTTTTTGCCGAAGATTTTCTGGGGGCGTTTTTGTTGCGAAGGAGCGCCGTGGACACTAGTGGAGCAGTGATAAATGAACCAGAAGTGAGGACGCCAAATATTTCAATCCGACAAGGTGTGAACAGCCTTGGCAAACCGATCCGCGTGATCACAAGTTGAGAGAATTGGACCTGCAGACAGGATGCTTTAGAGAGCAGGTTTTCCCAGTTTTCGTCTCCGGTTCAAAAACCGAAGCAAACCTTGGGAACCAAACAATTTGCAGTGAAACAAGTTCAAGTCCGCTATCCTACACAGATGCGTGCTGGCAAGCGCACGACTGTGGCAAATGTGTTCAACTGACTCAGACTTGATGATTTAGATTCTTGCGTCAAGTGCAGTTTCAATCCAATTTCACTCTGTCATGCTTCGAACAACTCATGCAAGCAACATTTCCTAGCAAATTTCTATAGTAGTTCAACATTGCAGTTCTTTCAACTAATATACTTCATTACGTACTGAACAGTCGGAGCGTAAAAATGCAGTCAGCCCACCAATTGTCGCAGTGGCATCACGTATACTGAGCGAAAACACCATTTTCACCTATTCGTCCTTGCAGTCGCTGAGCTGCGACGCGACAACCGCCATGGACGAAAAACAGGATGGACGCTACCAGCGACTGCGACGTCGCCACGTTTACCTGCATCGCTTGGCTGGTGATGACGTTTTCGCTACTAAGATCGAGAGTCAGCCCAAGGCACCTTTCATCATGGACTCTTGGCTACATTTATTCCAAATGCAGGAACATATGGAAAGCATGTATTGTTAAATTGTTGCTAGATGACTTGTGCACTTCCACACAAGCTGAGACAAGCCAAACAAATTGTATAGTGCCTGAGTTCAGCATTTTAGCTTGTGGCAGCACATACCAAGGTGATCCGATTTGCGATATATGCTTTCATAGCAACTTTTGTGATCAAGGCACGCAGTCAAGTCGAAGATTTGTCAATAGCCAATGATGGAACAAAGTCTGCTCTAACTGAGCAGTACTTTGAGCACGAACCAAAGCCGCGGAAGTTCGAAGACATCAAAGACGCGAAAGACGTCCGCACTTGGCTTCAGTGGCTTTTCAATTCATTGCAAGCTGCTGGCAGCACAGATGAGTACAGCAATCAGCTGTCACTGAACTTGCACAACAGGGTCACCCCCACAGAAGGTGTATGCATCAATTCTTCTTCCATCACATTGACCTTCAGGCGAGTCAAACTCAGCAGTGACACGGAGTCTTCGACTACAAGCCGTTTCTCTCCGTTGTACCCTCAAACCTGGACTGCTTTCACGATCGAGCCTGGAGAAGCCAGTTCTGATGAAGCAACCTCTCCCATTGTTGATGGGAATTTCAATTGGCTCCACAGCCCTGCATGTAAAAGTTGCCCAAACGCCGGTTTCTCTCCAGAATGCAGCTGAAAGCGTTCTATTTTTTTTGCGCCAACGATGTTGTGCTATGAACCCACTATCAGATACTATCATGTTGTCTTTTGCTTGTGAGCGCAGAGCTCCCTCATATTTACATGCCAAAACGAGGGTTTGATGCGGGCCGTGAATTGTAGAACTCTGGATTGGTAAAACATGTTTGAAGAATGCAACCTTGGATGCTGGGGTTATCTTGTGGATTCATGCAGCGGTACACCTGGAGATATTCCATCATCCTCTTGATTCCTTTTCGTCAACCCACCTGTGAGTTTGCAGAATGCTCCCTGCTGTGTTTGTTTGTTTGTTTGTTTGTTTGTTTGTCTCTCTCTCTCTCTCTCCCTCCCTCCCTCCCTCTCCCTCTCTCTCTAACTGGGTCTTCCTTTGCCTCTGTGTTTGAGCCGCATTCCGCACTTTTCTCAAAGAGAACATCCATCCCTTTTCCAGTTGCTTGTATCGGAAGCTATGCAGCAAACCCAAAGCGCTCAGGGTTGAGCTCAGGAAACAAAATTCAAATTTAAGTTAAGTTACATGGCGGTCTAGCGGGAATTGGGACACCACACTTGTTTGGTTTTGTAAAACCACGCCTGCGTTGTAGCAACCAAAATAAGAGCAGCGAATCCAAAATTGGGTCGCAGACGGTCAGGCGAAACTGAAACTCCAAAGTCCCGCGCTGTACATTAGCGTAAGGACATCTTTACAAACAAACTGCCAAGCAGGATCAAAAGGAAATAGTAAAACAACACAACCGTCTCAAAGATTCAAGGATCAATTTTCAGAACTTTCCACGGCTTGTTTTTCTTTTCCCAAGATGTTTGTGCGCTTAGACTATCCCAGATCAATGGTAAGTTGTTTGTGACATAAAGGGAAGGCCAAAAGGCAATACTTTCTTAAATACCTTTTTCTACAGTGGCGCTTTGAGCTGTAGCAAGGCTTTCTTCATTTGGTGAACAAGTTCGGAGCAAGGAGTGCCGACGCAAAATGGATTCCCCGCGTTGCACTTTTTCCTCGCGGGCGTTTGTTTGACATTGTCAAACATTATATGACCTTCCCCTCCGCTTGAAAGGATAAGAATCGCTTGTTGCTCTCGTGAGATCTGGTTGTAAAAAGTATGTTCTTCGCATTTCCCATGACATGCAGTTTGCCATTAGGTTCCTTTGAATGGTCTGTGACTTTGCTTGCAGGCCTTTTTTGATTGGTTGCCAATCTGTTGTGTTTCCACAAGCGCCCGAAGCCACGCAACTTGTTGTTTCTTGCCACTTTGCTTTGTCCTTTGCTTGTCCCAATTGCCGCTGGGGGTTATGTTTGTGCTGACGAGCAGAATTGCAAGGTTTGGATGAAACGCATTGACACACAGCATTTGCAGTGTAACATGGCATCATTTCAGGTTACAAGCAAATGGGTGGATATGTTGCAGTGGCGACGACTTCGAAAGATGGCACTGTGGTCCACTTGGTGGATAGTTCAGGTGTCTCTGATGTGATGCCAGATCCAACACTAAATCACTGCGATGGTAACTTGACGAGATCGGGAACGGTTGCATTGGAAGAGTTTCTTAGAGAACCCTTCTTCGATTCACAGCTTGGGAGCCTCACTGCTGAGTTTCAGACGTACAATGCAAACTTTCAAAGCTTGACAAAGGTCACGGTCTTGTTTCAATTCAGCGCAGCGGGGAATCTTTTTTCCCATCGTGTGGAGACACAGACTTTGCAACTGGACATCTCTCACAGTTGGATTCAATATTTCGAGTATACATATTTGGTCCTCACTTGCTTTTACTTCTTTGACTTGGTGTACAGAATCGGAAAGGGTTTTCCAACCTACTTGCGGAACTTCTGGTGCTATGTCAATGCTTGCTCCATCGTTGGAAGCATCAGCTGCTTCGGCATTTGGTACTTCTACATGCCAACTCTTGACACGTTTCGCCGCACAAGACTCTTTCAGGACTACACCAACTTTGACAACAGAAGTGACACTTTTGGCTTCTACATTCTCACATCTTCTTTTGCCGTCTTCACCATCTACTTGCGCATGTTGCAGTTCTTGGGCCACACTAGGTCCAGGGTCGTGCTTCTACTTAGAACCATCACGTTCAGCGCAGGCAACATGATTATTTACATTCTCTACATCGGCGTGATTTTCATTGGCTTCTCCACTTTCGCACTCACAAGCTTTTCCAGTGTATCGGCAAATTTTATCAACCCATGGGTCACCTTCGTGAGCACATTTTCTCTATTCATGGGTGACCTGCGCGTAATGAGTGGCTTCAACACAACCTTCAAAGTTCCCTTCATGTGGCTGTTCATGTTCTTCTTCTTCTTCCTCTCCGTGCAGATGTTCAACGCAATCATCAACTATGCCTACAATAGGGTCTCTGAGGATATGAAATCAGTATTTCAGCGCGAGCAACTGGAGAAGCAACTTACGAAGACGAAAGGAGAACGCTCCTTTTGGCCATTTCAAAGGAAGCCAAAAGCTGAAGAAGAGGATGGGCTAACTTATGGTGGTGCAATGAAGGGGCCAGATTTGACCACACTTGATCCTGCAGTGAGAGAAAAGGTTGAGGAGTACAGAGAGCGGGACACCAAGAAGAGTGCCAAGGACGGCCTTTGCACAGCCATGGTCTACTTCGTCATGGTTGGCTGCTACATCGGCTTTCTCTACGTGAACATGCTCGTTGAGGAGAAAAACCAGCTGAGGCTTGCGGTGGAGAGCATTGTGAGGCAGACAGAAGTCCCAATGCTACTTCCATACAGCAATAGGACAATGCTTCAAACTTGGGACGATATTTCCACATGGTCACAGGTAGCTTCGTGGATGCAGGTTGGTTTACCAGCCGTCGTCTTCAATTCCACTGCACAAGCCTTCATGGAAACTGCTACAAGTGGTTCTCAGCAGTTGATCGGTGCAGGCATGAGATGCCTACGCAGCTGGAATTGTCTCATCACAGGAACAGGAAATGGCGGCAATTCAACAAGAATTGCACGTATCACTCAGAAAAGGAGCAAACGCCTTCCAAATCAAGGCAGCCGTAGTGAGGCAACGCCTCAGGATGAGCGCTTCATTGGGGGATTTGCCGAGACAGGCGATGAGGTTCAAGGCCTTCTAGTCAATGAATCTGGTTTCTTCCAGATCATCTTTCCAGATGTGGCCCAGAATGAAGCTGAGGATGCTGCCCTTCAATTTCAACTTGTGTTCGAAAACCAGCCCTTGTGCCAGACTGTGGCAGCAGCAGCAGGAGGGAGCTATCGAAAAAGTGGTGGAATAGTGTGTGAGCTTAGTTCCAATATAGCTACTTTTGAGAGACAACTAGAGACCATGCTGGCAAGCAGCTTTTTTGTAAAAGAGTCTGCATCCTTTGTGATCGAGCTGGTGGCGCACAATTCAAACAGAGATATGCTCAGCTACATTGTTTTGACTTTCTATCAGACTCCAGCAGGCAAAGTGCACAAGGATATTCGTGTTTTCTCGCTGGCCCTTTTTGGTTGGGATGTGGGAGTCGACAAGTTGGGATACTTCATCGGGCGTCTTTTGCCGGGTGCGATCTACATGACGCTCGTCGTCGCCTTCACAATCATGCTTTACCAGGAGATGCAAACCGAGCATACCCGGCGCTCTGTTGCAGAAAGTGCTGAGAAAAGCGGCCTCTTCACGACAATCTTTACCTTCTTTGCCAGTGATGTCTTCCGGCCTGTCGATGCAATTTCGTATTTGATGTCTTTCTGGAGCTTTGTTCTGTTCGTTCTGTGGCTGGTGAAGGAAGGGGATCTTCAGCAGAAACTTCAAGGAAACTATGGGGAAATTGTCGACTTCGCATCAGAGCTGATTGCCCAAGAGAAAGAGTACAATCGAATCTCAGCAGCTAATCTTTTGCTCTTGTTTGTCCGGCCACTGCGCTTTATTCGTGAAGACCCTCGTATGCAACGGCTCAACCAAACTCTGCAAGATGCCAAGACAGACATATTTTGGTTTATCGTTGTTCTTTGTATTGTGCTGTTCGCGTGCACTTTGCTGGCCAATGTGTCCTTCGGACCGTTCTTTCCCGGATGCATAGACATTTCCGCTTCCTTCCTGTTCTGCTTCTCATTCATTCTTGGAGAGTTTGACTTTTGGAGTCTCTACCGAGCGAACCCAGTCATGGCAGTGATCTTCTTTTTCCCTTATCTTATTCTCGTCTACTGTGTGTTTACGAACATCTTCTTTGCCATCCTGGACAGGTTTTTTGTGTCGGCTGATCCTCCTCCGATGAAGCTAAAGCGGAAGCTCAAGCCATTACTATCAAAGATTTGTCGCTGCATTGATTGGGATGATGATTTTGTCATGGAGGAGGACCCCAAAGGTGCCAAGAAAGAAGGTCCACAATCTAGAGCAGATCGGGTGGCAGTGACAGCAAAAATCATCCATGACATCAGGAAGGGACTTGACGGCGACAGTGGCAGCCGTCTTGCTCAAAGCAAACCCCTTACCGAAGTGTGCGACGTGGATGAGAAGCTTTCAAATGTAGTGAAGTGGAGCAAGGAGGAAGCCGCGTCCATCGTAAGTGAGTTTCAAAACTTGCTCGTCAAGAAGCAGAGGCACAAGAATGAAGATGTGTTTCTGAAGCAGGTTGTTATGAAGAAGGTTGACGCAGATGAGACAAAGACAAGAGAGGAAATGGAAGAAGCTCACAGGCAGATGAGATATGCAGCTGAAGTGCACGAGGTCATGGCAGTCCGAGATCAACAGACTCTTGCAAAGTACATTTGGCTGCTCGAGCAAAAGATTCAGAAGAAAATGACGGACAAACATGCTCTGATGATGGAGGCGCGGACAGACTTTGGTTTGAACGTAGGAAACATAAGTAGGTGCCAGACTGGCTTTCAGTGTAGGAAAACTGTTTGACAACTCGTTCATCATGCCTGAATTGATCAAAAACAACATGCACGGACCAGGAAGTCAAGCCTTGTAGCCAAACCTCAAAGTAAAGTAAAACTTTGCTCATTTCCTTAGTCGGTGAGCCTGCAGCTGCAGAACATGCCTTTCTAGCAGAAAAAACAAGGGTACAAAGCACATATAACAAGAAGCAATCTGGCTGTTTTAAACAAACAAACCATTTTTGATACCAACTAGCTTTCATTTTGATTTTGCAGGTAAGTTAAAGTCGGCCATTTTGAGATCGCTGCATCGCAGGTCCAACACTTGCAAGATGAGATGGACAAAATGCGCTTCACAAAAGAGGATTTACGAAACCAAGCAAACGGAGTTGGAGCAGATGTTCCGCAAGAAGAGGATGAAGGCCAGTTGGTGTACGAAAAACAATCCGCAAAGCTTTACACAGAAAACTGTTCACAGAAAGCGTTTCACCTTTTCTCAAGAGCTTGTCAGGTAGTGCTTCTGAAGCTGAGCTTGGAGAAATGATTCAAGCAAATGTCGCCTCTGCTTCTCGTGTTCCACTTGATCCGAATTCAGCAATGGAAGACACTGGTCGCTCAGATCCAGCGACTGCAGACATGTTAAAAGCTTTAAATGGCTGAAATTGCCCTAGGCATGTGTGCAGTTGCGAAGTCAGAATTGTACATTGCATCTTAGCTTGTAACCAAGATCATTGTGTTCCAAGACCAAAGTCAGCCATCAACATGTGTGTTTCACAACTAGCTCAAAAGCATTTGAACCCTTTGCACGGCCGAGCAAATTTGTGCTAAGCCCAAGGGACACCGGCTTTCCAGCGCATCCAAGCTTGCATATGCTCTCGAGAAAGTCAGTTTTGCGGGCAATGGCTCAAGGATTCATTTCTTCAAGCATTTGCATCAGTGAGCTCAGTCCGCAACGATCCACAATGCATGTTTGTCAGTGTCATTTCTGTGCAACAGCTTGTCCTTGAGCTATTGAGTTTGCAGATATGCAGGCGAGGTTCAGAAGTCCAAACATTCAAGGAATGTGTACGTGTAGCAGGTGGCTGAAGTGATCAGAAGCAATTGGAATGCTTGTGCTGCGGCAGGTGTTTGCGATGATGGAGCTAGTGTTGCTTATGACAAATCTGATGCGGCTTGGCCTTGTGATGTACTGTATATATGAAAGCGGTTCGACTGCTTACAGGTGCCCCAAATCTAGAGCTTCTAGCGAACACGGGCAATCTGGGATGGCTATGCGATCCTTCAGCGCCCAATTGTTTCTATCGCTTTGACCCACTCTTGACTGAGTCGGTTCACAGACTCTGGCACATAGTGTTCACACTGCATACCACCTGCTCTCATGCAGCCGAGGTGCTGTTGAGCATGAGTAGTTAAAGGAACAAAGAACCACCAACACACCCAAAACGAAGAACAAGAAAAAGGGGGCCACAACCAAAGGAGAAGAAGAAAGTTTCGAGGCCTAGGAAACTTCCAGTTTATTGTCATAATGTATCAGTGTAGGATGCTGGTTGCTGTGGCTGTGATGTTTGTACATTGTTCTCCAGAGGTTCTTTCGGAGTTCTCTGCGGCGCTTTGCCGATGCCATGGCGTCATCTTGTACGATTCGCCATCGTTGTTGCATCTTGTACCATAGTTGCAGCTGACGCTGTTCATTCTTGGTCAAGGAGCTGCTGAGCTGCGCATCGCTATGCGCCCATCGTACCACCACTCCATTCCTTAGCTGCGCTTGCTTCAGACCCATCAACTCTATGTCCACTCTTCTCTCAGTACCCCGGGTACAAACCACCTCAGTGGACAGTTTGTCGAAAACATTGCCGCTGTCGGCGATCAAACCTCCGGCCACGGTGTTCACTAGATCATTCACTCCCCTCAAATTAGTTCAAATTGCAGTATTTACCCAACATTTCGCCAAATTGAAATCTAGCGATAAACTCGGCATCCCCCGCGTTCCCAGCTGCAGCTGCTTCACTAGCCCCAGGGCTGCGACACACACGTTGAATTTTGGAGGAATGCTGCGTCCGCGGGTCCATAGCAAGCCTTCCGAACTCGAGTAATGGTCTCATGACTCATGAGGCAACCCCATGGCATCTAGGATGTCCGGACAGGGGATGCAATACAAGTTGTCGGGGTATGCACGCGACTGCAAGAGAGCTCCTGTCACCTCTGCTTTGACGCTGCTATGGTCAATTGTATCTGCCGGGTCTCTCGGGTTGTCGTAGTAGGTGACGTGGTGGCTCGACCTTCATATTCTGGGTCCATGTAGCCCAGAAGAACTGCCCGGGCTTTTAACTGCCTTGTGTCCACCGTCTGGCAACAACTTCCAGGTCAGGATCCACCGCATTCGGATAGCGTCGTCGCGACGCACTCGATGTGTGGAAGGCGCTGCTTCAAAGGCCTTTGCGGCAATGAAGTTGCTCACTTCAACTGATTTTGCTTTCCCAAAAATGTTGTCTTCTGGTTCGCTCTGTTTTTGAATGCTGTGGTGATGTATGCTTGCAGGTTCCGAACAGCTTTGTCTGAGGCTCCACGAGTTTGTGGCATATCAATGCTGCTCCTGGGTCTGTCCAGAAACTAGCTCTTGCAAAACCTATCGGAGGTTGTTCATCCGATCTATGTCGACTCCGGGACCTGGTTCTGCCTGTTCCCGGTGTTTCTGGCTCTTCGGGCTCTCGAAAGTCGGCACTTCGACGAAGACGGCTGCTGGCTGCGCCCTCTGGGCAGGCATCTACCTGTGCATGTAGGACAGGAGTTGTCTCACGGTTGGTTGCCACTCATGTTGGGGATCGTTGGCTCTCAACCATTCCTCTTCATATCAGGTTGTTCACTCCAATCTTCATTTCCTCCCAACTCTGCTGCAACTTGTGGAAAAGTCCATGGTTGGGATGTCTCTGAGCGAAGTTCTTCAATGATTTGTTCACGGTCAGATGCACGCCGTAGTTGTTCCCGACAGCACTTCAAGAGTCTTCGACCCCGGACTAACCATATGGAAGAGCCCTCGATCAATTGTCCAACTGCATCTCGCCGTGATTCCGTGGCTAAAATCCGCGCTGGCCCAACAATTAAACTTGCCAGCGGTTGTTGAAACTTGTTTGGCGGTCTCCCGCTGAAAACTTCAAAAGCCTTCTGTGTCGGGAATTGGCTGCCCTCTGAAGGCGTTGGTTGTGGAAAGTCCAAGCAAGCCTTTTCATCAGTCAATCGAAACCGCGCTGTTGTTCGCAATCCTTCATGTTCTGGAGCGGGTGTGGAACCCACATCGAAAAATTTAGCCAGTTTCATTGGGCGCCCGTCCTTTTACATGCTGAAACTCAGAGTATCCTTGAACTACTTCTCAATTGAGCGCGTGAATACTTTCTGAAAGTACGCTTCAAGGCGGTCATCATGGAAAGTCCAAGCGCACCTTGCTCATCAATTCTTTGACGGCCTGGATGCTACGTTCACAAACACCCAACTTCCAATGACCCTCTCCAGAAATGTCCAACAAAATGTGACGGTGGTCACAAAACTCTGCAAGTGCACGGCTTCGGAAACTGCCGGGGTCCTGAAGAATCAACGATTGGAAGGCCTCCGTTGCCATACGTTCAACACCAAGTTTCAGGGACCTGCCAACACCAGGAGGGAATAGAAGGGACCTTCTTCTCTTGTTGGAGATTCCCGTCCAATCCAAGGTTCGGCTGTCCGAGCCGAGCTGCAAGAGAACCCACGCTCATTGCTCTTGAAGCTGCCGGCATCCAAGGGAGCTGCTTGGCTCTTCCCTGCGGGGGTGCGCCATCTTCAATCTTCAGGTCCTGAACTTCCTCCTTCAGCGGCGATCGCGGAGTGAGCCAGCATCTTGAGGAGTTCCTTCGTTTTCGGGTCAGATTCTGGCTTCTTGCATGATGTGGTCAATAAGGCTTTGATCATGGGGTTGCCGGTCATCAGGTTGTAGCCCTGTGGTGGTTCGGACCAAGCTGCCGCCCTTGCACTGTAGGCTCTGGTTGCGAAGGCTCTGGTCGAGGAGTTGACGGCCTTCCAATAACCAATTGGCAAGCCTCACCAGGCGGGAGTCGTTGTAGCTCACACGTGAAATTGGTAAACTTCGTTGCGGTGAGACTGGAATAATACCTCCCGAACGTCATCATGGCCTTGACCATTTCTGTTCGGTCAGTCCTGCGCGCGCTTGATGAGATGTTCTAGCAGTGTTCAACTCCACCATCATCTGACGGAGTGGAGTCTTGTTCGATCTCGGTCGTCCAGGTTTGGGTGGAGTCTCTCCCAATGGCACCGATGAGGCCTGCCTTCTTCATAGTGGGCGTGATGACTCTCAAGGCAAGGCGGAAACTGGCTGCGACGATGGAGAACCTCTCGAGCTGCCGCAGCTGCCGCGTGTGTGCGTGTTGATTGCGGTGTATGTGGTTGACTGTGGTGATGAACAAGATCGGGATGACAATCGCTATCACGAACTTCATGCTGTTCACATCTCGACTGTTCGCTCACTGCGCTATGATGACGCGCCTCCCTTTCTTTGGCAGAAGACGAATCAGGGAGGAGCCGTCCCTAGACAAGGTCTTTCAAACTCGGCACGGGTGACTTCGCTTCAAAAGAGTTCCCGTACCAGTCCTGAGTGAGTGAGCGGAATGAGCTAGCTCGATTGCTCAAGCTGGATGATGCGTTCCTTGTTCGGGTGACGAAAAGTTGAAACAAAATCACTCTCAAAATCAATCAAAAAGCACCCAAGGAAGTGCCCTGATCCAGAGTGTGGATATTCAGCTCGCTGGGTCGTCCTTCCTTCTGCCTGGATCTTCATCCATGCTGTGGACAGACATTGGTTGCGCGACGAATTTCCAAAGCGGAAGGCCGGCCGCTGCTCGGCGCAGACCCAACCTTGCTCAGCGTCCAACTTTGCAAGCCCACTGGAGCCAGTCTGATTATGATCAGGGCCGAGTCTCGACCGCCCTAACGGACCCCAACGTCCGTGTGGCGCCACCATCTATGACTGCCTTGCCCTGCTCCATTGCCTGACTGGTTAAGATCTTGTTGGCCGCAGGACCATCCGCTGCGACCTGCTCTGCGAGGCAGACGAACGGGGCTTCGCGCTGGTTCGAGTCGCCACACTGAAGCTCTTCGGTTTCTGGGGACAGTCCTCGGCGCGGTGGCTTCCACCACAGCAGTGAATGAAGGCGCTTGCTGCGTTGGCCAGATGGGCCCTCCTGAATCACAAAAGGTGTGGGCTTTGGTCGGTGTGGTGCACCACAGTACTGACGGCTGGGCTTGACAAAATGCTGTTTGGCTCGAGCTTCACGTAAAGTCCGGCGCCCTTTCTCCAGCATGGCTTGGGCCTCCTGCATGGGCCTCCACCTCGGCTTCGTTCATCAAAGCCATGTCCTCATGGTTGATGCCATAAGTGGACAGGGGGCTGAAGTCTGGACTTTCCATGTCTCCAGCAAACGGATCATCATCCAGGTCGTCCACGGTCCACGCGGAAGCTCGGCCACCTTGGTCTCGGCGAAGGTCATCGTCATTCCATTGGTTCCAAAGTTCCTGAGCGACCCGCGCAGAACTGAAACCCTTCAGAGCTGCCAGGATCATATTCTTTTCGCTGGTCTCCAGGTTGGCGTCCTGGAGGAGGAACCATCCTTGCACGAAGTCAGGCAAGAGCTGTGCTCGTGCCTTTGCACCTGTGCGAGTTCGCGTCAGGAATGTTGGGAGAATGAGGCTGCTTCCCATTGCTGCTGGGGCCATTGTGCCCAACAATCTTCTTGGCCCGCTGACGGAGTGTGTTCCCCTGGATCTCCGGCTCTGTGTTCAGGATCGGCCTGATCTGGAGTTGAATCCACTTGTACTTCTTGGGCGTCATGGAACTCGCTGGCTGGTCTCAGGGATGTCCTCAAGTCTGTCTTTAAGTCTGGAAAAAGCCACTGTCGCCGAGGATGCTCGAGCGCGAGGCTCATAGTGCTCCTGAGCTCTTTGCAGGGTCTGTTCAGTTCGACTGTGCAGTTCAGCCTTGCGAGTGATGTAGTCATTCATGGACTCACTCTTCTCGCGACGACCCGGCTCGAAGTACTTGGACACGTATACTCGCTCATCTCCGACAGCTGGGGCAGACCGAGGTGCTTGCGCAGGTGGGTCAGCAAGGTCTGAGCACCTCCATCGTGAGAAACCCAGCCAATGTTCAGCCAGCTCACTATATTACTCAAAAGTGCTTGCTGAACCATTTGATTGGGGATATCCTTCTCGATTTCCCTCGATCACCGCCATGGCGGGGCTACCAACACCTATAGAGCTTGGATCGGAAATCATGGCTCTGCGATCCTTGAGTGCTCACTTGTTTCTATCGCTTTGATCCACTCTTGACAGAGTCGGTTCACGGACTCTGCCACACAGTGTTCACACTGCGTATGATATATTGGAATACTATTCTGAAACAGTGTAGTACATACATATGTTTGAGGGATTTGAAGAGAAACGTTGTTATTTATTGTTGCTGTTTACCCTTTGTCACATTTTATGATTGGTGGAAGTACTTGGAATCTTGACCAGGGAAAACATGTTGCATCTTTTCTGTGGGCAACTTGTCCAAGTTGAAAGGTTGGCAACGGGTCGCAGCTGCTTCATTCCAGAGCTCTCTGGTGCATCCTCGGAGACATTCAAGGACTTCCTGGCATCAGACATACCTGTGTCAGTTTGCTTTCTCTGGTAGTCCAACAGCAAAAACCAAAACCAACCAAAAGAACATTCCGAACAAAAGGTTTGCTTTCATCCTGTAGGCCTTTAGGCTCACAACTTCACAATCGCCACCCATGGTGGCAGCAGCAACGGGTTTGCTGCAAATCCGCCCATTTTTGTTCAGTAAAATATTGTTCAAAGTGAAACCAATGTTTTTCTATGTTTTTCCTGATTTGTTTTGTTGGGTGTTTTTTGGTTTGTGAGAGCTTTTGAGTTTGTTCCGGCTTAATTAGGCTCACAGTTCCAAGAACAGTCAAGTTAGTCCAATATTGCTTTGAAGATTCCAGGATATTCGAGTTTGTTTAAAAAATGTTTCTCCGTGTTTCTCCTTTCTTTGGCTGTGATTGTGATGCATGGTTTTATCTCAAGACCCAGTTTTCCTCCTTTCCTGGTGATGACTATTCGAGCGCCGTTTCTTTTGGTGATGCCACGGTTGGACAATTTATTTCAAGTTCAGCATGGTTAAGAGCACGCAGCATGTAACAAGATTGTTGAGAGATTGAATCTTGCGCACCCAATTGGAATACTTTTTGTGTGATGTTCCAGGATGTTCAACTGTTCCCCAACCATTTTAGGATTGCTTACAAAAGCATCCCAAAGCACTCTAAGAAATCCGCCGAAATCCCTTGGAGGTGCAATAGAGATACGCAAGCAGAAGTGTGAGAGGGTGGGATATTACGTTCGAATAGATAGACAGATAGATAGGTAGGTAGGTAGATAGATAGATAGATAATTCGATAATTCGATAGTTAGATAGTTAGAGCCTTTGTTTGCAAGATGTCGCTGTTTTTAAGGTTTGTCCTTTCTCTTGCCAGCAAAGTCATTCTTCTAGACGCTACACGGGAAACCCAGGTGAGCCTTACGAAATGGAGCACAATGACCTTCCAATGATATAAGCCAACTGGTGTCACCACGAGCTTGTTCAGCTCCATGTGGGAACATCATCAAGAAGCACACGACCAGATTTAAGATGAAGAGGTGTTCGGTGTTCAGGACAGAGCGAGCCTGGAAACTCAGCAGATGAAGGGTCTGGTGGGACTCACTCTCAAGGAGAGTCACCTTGGTGGGTGCCCCTTCTTCTCAAACATGCAGGCGCGTGCTCATACTTGCGGCTGTTGTCATGATGGCAGAAGAGCTTTGGGTACCGGGTAAGGGCAAGGGTAAGACAAGGGTCATATCAAAGCTATCAAAAACAAAACAAATCAAAACCCAATAAACACTCTTGGGAAAAGCAACCAACAAAGATCTAATGATATAGGTTAATATGGGACCTAGGAACAACTAGCAACTAAATATGGAAAGTATATTAATATGTCACTTTCACTGCCTTGCAGTGTGAGAGGAGCTCACCGCGCTGTTGTTTTGATATTCCATTGTGCACTGATACTGACGGACTGCGCTTTCAAAGCTTGGGGACAAAGGGCAAAGGTTTTGTAGCACTCAGTCGTTTTTACTGCTATGGTGTCAGTGCAATTATGCTGTGACCAGACCAAACTCTGATGCATTGCAAAATGGATGGCAGGATAAAACTGTCCAATGCAAGGAGAGAGATGCATTCAGATCTCAATCCCAACCACCATTCCATGCAGAATACTGTGAGTCTAGGATTGGGTGTTGAGATGCATTGCATATATATATATACAATCTGTGATTTGTTTGTCCAGTTATAGATCATAATGTCCCTTTTGGTCTCTTCTTGCAGTGGCTTCTTGCTTTTCTGGATTCTTTGTTGTGATTCTATGTTCTTTTTCTGCGATCGTTTGTTATCTTTTGGTTACCTTTGAATCACTTTGGCTTTGGAAATTGCCTTTCCTTTACCTCTCTTTCACCTTAATGTTACCTATATGTGTGTTATTCAAATGGCGGGCTTGGAGAGCTATCTTGGGTAATGGGCTTTCTAAGTTTACAACTATAAAATGGGAAGCATAAAAAACATAAGCCTAATTACCAGGTAGAAGTGCACCCGGATGCATAAAAAGGGTATAAGTTTGGAGGGACGCGCTGCATAGTGTGAAACTGAGTTTTACTTGAAGTGGGATGGCCGCTGTTGACAAGTTGCATATTGCACGGTCGTATGTCGTATATGTAAATTGCTGTAGTGGCAATGCTGCCAGAAAAAAGGACGTGGAACGTTGCGGCAGCTGTCCGACAACAGAGTTGGGAATTTTGATTGCTATATAGGGGAATTCTGTCAGAGGACGTGCACAGAGCTCAATGTGATGCGATCGCTGAGCATGTCTTCATTGAGCAGATGCTTGTTTCATCAAGCCACTTGAAGAGCACAAGATGTTTTCGTTTGGACAAGCTACAATAATTCGAAAAAAGTAGTGTTAAAAAGGAGTGCTGACCAGTTTGGAACTAGTTTCACCAACTTTGACGATTTGATTTGAGTTTCCAGCATCCTTCATCATCTCATGCATGGATTCGGCCCCACAAGGCTCAGCCAGCGCCCAAAAACGCAGCCCCTCTCATGTGGGTGCTTGTGTAGACCGCGCTTGTGAGGCCAGGGTAATTTTTCCTGCTCTTGAAGGTGCTCACACAAATTCCAGATCAGCATATCTTAGCAGTTTCATTTCATGATGTTTGAAGCACCATTGGAGCCAGATCCCTTTGTGAGCGCACAGTTTTGACTTCGCCGCAACTAGAGTCATTGAGGCGTATGACACATGTAACAATCTAGAACACTTCACAAGCAATAGTTGTTGCACTTGCAGAGGGTAGAAGGGAACAGCTGCCGCTGTGCATTTGTGGGTTCAGGGACACTCGAACCACGTACTTAGTTTGTACACTTGCAATTTTCATCACTATATAATATAGAACTCCAGAATATAAGTTCAATATTCAATGCAGTCTTCCACTGTGTTCACACTCGTGGAGACGCACCACCACATTCGGATGTAAGTAATTACATGTGACATGCCAAACTGACAGGCTGTTGGACACATGTTTGTCTAGGTTTGCGAGACTTCGAATCACACAAGCTCGATTCAACACCGCAACCAAAGAATCCATGTGTGAGTTTGCTTGTGGAAACTCAGTCCACTTAGCGTGTTTCATTTGATGTTTCATTTGGCCATTTTGGCCCTAACCTCACGGAACCTGACCACCGAGTGGTGGGCATCGATCGCGACGCCAATGGCTGTCTGAAAAGAGCGTGACCTAGAGAGCCGCTCTTGAGTTGGGAAACTTCGAGTGTTTCTGACCTCCACTTGGACTTCGATCCTTCGTTACCATTGTCCAAGTGACATTGGTAGCGGAGCTACCACGCTCCGGGTAGCTCCCTGCCAACCTCCGCTGACTACATCATAACCACCTTCCAGCCACTACACCTTCCACGGAAACTGCACCCACAACCTTGTCATCTTCTTCGCGCTCAGGAGCACTGCTTATACCAGAGCTCTTTCACACTGACGAGCTCTACTCCACCTCTTGGTGACACTGCCCCACCTCCTGAAGTATGACCTCAGAAAGAAAGCCGAGCTCGACACTCACTCGGCCAGAGATAGTTTCATCCCGCTCTTCGATGGATCCCTGACGGGATACCGTGAGTGGCGGAAGAGAATCAAGATCTACTACAAGAAGATGACCTTGTCAAAACGGCAGGGTGAAGCCATCCTGAACTTGTTGGGAAGCCTCTCCGGTGTCGCATGGAAGCTATGCGAAGACTTCAACCTGGACAAGGCCGAAGACCCAGAAGCGCTCCAGGAGATCTTGAAGATCTTGGATGGCTCCTTCCAATACGACTCCAATGTCGAGATGCTGGCAGATTTCTCTGCCTACTTTGAGCACTTGGCACGAAAGCCCGGTCAGACCCTTTTGAACTACGTGACTACCAAGCCAAATACAAGGTTGGTTCCTCTGACAAAGACCGCCCTGACTCGTGAAGAGAAACAGATGATCATGACCCAGGCCGCCTCTCTAGAGCGAGCCAAGATCCAACAATCCATGTTCGCCATCCTTGGGCAGGACTACAAGGGCGGTGGACATCTCCTCCGAGACCGTTGGAACCGTGCTGCCTCCGGCAAGGCTCGATCCTACTTTGCCGGTGATGACTCTGAAGCAATGGGGTGACAATGCCCCAACCTATGAGGAGGAAGATGATGCATACTACATGGATGATGATGAAAGGTACGATGATACATGGTGGGAGTCCTTTGATGCTGATGCCGCCTACTACCAGGAGGAAACTGATGAACGCGAGCCTGACTTCGACCCCGAGGAGTTCGATGAGGCATACGCCTCATATGTCGATGCTCGCAAGCGCTTCAATGATTTGAAGCTTAGCAGAGGATTTCTCCCGGTGGTGGCCCTCCAGGACTCTGCCCCTTCATCGAGCTCTACCTCTTCGCAAAAGCCTTTGAAAAGGGAAGAAAGGGAAGAGCAAAGGAAAAGGCAACAGTGGCACCTTCCGCTACGATCGCCCTCCTGGCAAGCAACCAGACCTAAGAGGGAGAGCTCGCTCAGCCTTGGCCTAGCTTTTATGCGATGTGGCTCAACTTCACACAAAACAGCTCAATGTACTCAGACGAGCTCTACGCCCAAACCGGCTCCTACGACCAGCGGCAAACGCCAAGCAGTTGAGAGCATGGCCGTGCTGAACGATGAGACCTCCATGATCATGCTTGAAGACGCCTCCGGCCATGAGCGCCCAGACTGCGCTACGCTTGACCCTGGTGCCTCCTCGTTCTTGATGGGATCAGGTCCACTGAGTCGCTATGTCAACCACCTGCGGCAGCTGGGCTATGACACCGACAAGCTCCAGCTACAGCGTTGCCACCGGACATTCCACTTCGGCGGTGATCATCAAAAGATCAGCTCATGGACGGTGAAGGTGCCCGTCTACCTGAACGGTCAACATGGCTTGATTCAAGGGTTCGTCTTGTCAGGCGAAACCCCCATGTTGGTTGGCAGACCTGTGATCCGTGCCCTCGACATGACCATCAGACTTCTCCCAGCAGAAGGTCAAGTTCGGCGATGCTGACTGGCAAGATGCCGTCCTTGGTTGTCATGAAGAATACCTCCTAGACCTCACCTCTACCTTTGACTCAGAGCAGCTGAAGTGGGAACCATCCTTCGATCTGCAGCTCGATGAGACTCTTGGCAACCCTGGCTCGCTGGAGGACTTCTTGGTTGAGGAGCACCTCTACCAAGTCGAAGAGCAGGTGACCATGGAAGACACCACGCCAATGACCTCAAAGCATTGGAAGACATTGGTCACGCAAACGCAGGCTCAGCTGAACTCCATGAACGTTTTGGTTGACCAAGCCCTCAAAGAAGAGCACTACGCACCACGCGTCCTGTGGGAAGTCTACACAGGCCGCGCTCGACTTTCTCAGGTGGCTGAAGCTATCGGCGTGACCGTCAAAACGTTCGGCTTTGAGACAGGATGGAACTTCGCGCTTCAGTTGCATCAGCGCGCCTTCCTGGAACTACAAGACCGAGAAATGCCGGACGAGACCCACGGTCACGCACGCAGAACATCTGAAGCCTTCGAGAATGGCACCACCGAACTCATCTTCAGTTTTGCAAGCGAGTGTGCCTCAAGCAGCTGAACCCACATTGAGCAGCCCACCTACATCATCAATGTCAATCCGGCGCTGTTTGCATGGATGTTGATGAAGTATGGACGCCGGCAAAGAAGGACACCACCATCCTGACTACGAAGCGCTCTGTGGCAGAAACCATGAGCCGTCTATGCCCAGGCGATCACGAGCACTGCCGTCTTGAAGGATACATGAAGGGACATGGCGTCCATCGCACCTCATTCGTGGAAGAGTACCAGCCTGCCTTCTCCTCGACCTTGGCAAAAGCCCTGGCATGCGCAGAAAAGCCTCAAATTTGGGGAAGGCTCGCATTATGCCTGGGCAAGATCGTTGATCTACATGCCGAAGGAATAGCAAAATGCCTTTCGAGTTGTACAGAAGCTCCACAGTGCCCAGGCCCTGGTCGATCTCCTTCAGACCAGAGGCCCTTCCACCGATGTCTTGTCAGTTGCTGAGAACTACCTGCGCAGCTCCTGCCTTCGCTACAAGAAGCCAAACAACCAGCTCCAGCCAACGCACAGAAGGCTGACCATTGACCAGGTCAATCAATCCATCCAGGCTGATGTCTTCTAAATCCGCACCGACAAGAAGAAGTGGCCAATCATGGCAACCTTGGACATTGCAACCAAGAATCAAGTGGCATGGCAGGTGCAGACTGAGCAAACTCAGGACTACATCACGCCCCTCAAGAGACACTGGATTTCACATTTCGGTGTTCCTGAAGAACTGGTGACAGATGAAGGACGTGGCTGGCTTAGCAATGAATTCTTGGACTGGACCGACAGTCATAGCATCAGCCACAAGGTTGCACCTTGGTGAAGCCCACGAAAGACTTGGCCAAGTTGAGCGAAGACACGCAGTGCTACGACAGCCATCGAGGTCTACATGCACGACCTGAAACTGGAAGGCAGAGGTGGCGTTCGTCAAGCCTTGACGTACATCCTTCCTCAAATCAATGCTGAACTGTCGCTGGATTCTCGCCTGCTCAATGGGCGCTTGGCTATCAACCAGCTCAACCTGGGTTACTGCAGTCCAGTTCCTGTTCCCTTCACGAACATGAAGCCTTTGAGAAGCGCCTCCACCAACGCAATGTGGCCAAGACTGCCATCCTTCAGGCTGAGACTGATCGCAAGCTGAGACGTGCCTTGTTGAGACGCTACTCAGGCGTCAATCAACGGCTGCTGGCTGGTCAAAGGTGCTTCTATTGGCGAGATGCTCAACAACATGAACTGTGCAAGATCAGATGGCGTGGTCCCTGCTAAGGGCGTCTGTGTTGAGGAGAAAGATGGTAGCCCACATGTCTATTGGCTGGCCCGCAAGACACAGCTTATTCGTGCAGCACCACATCACGTACGACCCGACTGTACCGCCATCGAGGAGACAGCAGTTGAGAACTTGAGAGATGCTGCGGCCACACTTCAATCATTGAAGTCAAGAGGAGTGACGCGGTTCATTTATTTGAATCGAGTCAACAAACCAGACTTGCTCGACGTCGAGGAACACGAAGAGGAGATGTCTCCAGATGAAGGCCCTGAACACAAACGCCGCCGGTACGACGCCACCATCGATGAAGACCTGGAGGACTACACACCTTCAGAGCCTCCAAATGAAGGCAAACTACAAGGGACTCGCGCCGAGGACGAAACTGTACCTGCAGAGCCTGCGGCGCCTCCTGTACTACAAGATCACCTTTTGCCGGCTGTCCCTGAACATCAACGAGAGCCTTCGATCGAGCCAGAGCCTCCAAGCGTGCCTCCAACTCCGATGCACCTTGACCCGGTGACCTCTGAGGCCTACAGGGCGCCATCAATGCGTGAGACATGTGACAACAGCGACTACGACTTGACAGGCGAGAGGCTGTATTCTTTGGTCCTCAACGAGCACGACATCACGAGCAACTGAGTCCTTTTCAGAAGCCTCCCCATGAGACCAGTGAGATGGTCTTCGAGGTCCAAGACA